TAAAGGCTCTTGAGTTAAACAAGTGTTTCAAAGATCTGCTAATTTTTATCATATGTAAGAAAAAATGGATGCATAAAAAATTTTTTTAGGTTAAACCTTGTGTGAATAGGAGATTAGACAAAAAAAGTCTAGAAGTAATTAAACATAATGACCATTTGAGGGAGGCCAAAGAGAGAGTTTTTCATTTTTGCTTACTTTTAAGAATCTTCATCTAAAATAGGATAAAATTATAAGGAAGCCAACCCTTTTTCTCTTAAGAGCTTTCAACGCACACTATTTTATCAGCTCTAGAATAAAGAGCTTGCAACAATCATAGAAAACATAAGTTCAGAGGGAATGGTACGTTGCAAAAACAAAAACAACATTGATATGTACGTCAGGAATCTACATGACTTTAACGGTTCATCCATCTACTAGATGTTGACAGAAGTATCTATTCACGTTCAAAACAACTAATAAATGTTAACTTGTGTACTAGATATATAGTATCATCTGTACAGGGAGTAAGAAGCACTTACTCGAGACCAAAAATGCTTGCCCAGAGCCAAAAGCACTTACTTGGGACCATATGGCAATCACTCGTGACAAGTTGATACTCGAGCAGCATCTAGGAAACTCACCTAAGAGCCCAAAGAACCCCCCATATCCCAAAGATTCTTGGCAAAGTCATATGAAACCCCTATGGTTCGCATCTTCCAAGGGACATCTCCACATACCTCGAATCTTGATCATAATGTTCGTGTGTCATGATCATATAGAAAATATATATATTTCTTTAATTTCTTCTTGCATGGCTTTCGCTATAACCAAATAAACTTATAAATATGTGATCAAAAGGCATAAAATTGGATTGCTAAAACATTTTAAACTTCTTCTCGTGGTAAACAAAATACTTAGAACTTCTCTCTGAAGTTCTTCCCACTTACTATTTCCTTTCTATGTTCACTGCCCCTTTTTGTCTAGTTGGTCAACCGATAACTACTGGTAAATTTCAGGCATTATCCATCAAAACATTGGATGAGCATATAGGAAGAACACAAAATTTATGAGAAAGAATCACAATAGGCATAAGGCAAGTAGAACACATCATACAAATTGGCGGTGACTCTATGGACGTCAATAAACAGCTTGACATGGAGCAGTAAGTCTTTGAGCTTAGAAAATACCCAAACTCCTCAATCCATAAAGCAAGGATGTCGAACCTCTCCTTGATAAGTGGAGAAAGATCCATGAGCAATGTCCACCCAATCACCAACCTAATTATATTACACTTTGCTTTCTAATCAAGCACCATATTTTGCCAACCGATCATTCAAAAGTGTGCAGAGGAGAATTGAAGATATCAACCTTGAAGGCATTAATGGTGAACATGTGCTAGAAAAATCAATACTCCGCAAAATCTTCTCCTTCCTCATATGACAATACTTGCAAAGGAACTCAACTTAATCAAGGCTAGCTCCATCCCATAGTAATTAAGAAAGGCTAATATTTTTTGAACACAATAGCAACCTCAAGCTAAGTCAAAATTGGTTGACTAAAAAACAACTTGTTGAATGAGTTGAGAAACTCACTTTCCGTAGGAAGACGCACCTCAAAATACTTGTCGTTGAAATAATAGAGCTCGTTCACGGGCACAACATACTCAAGCCTAAATAAGAAAGCTAACACGAGCTCGCCTTCCTTGAAATCCTTTGCACACTTCATTAGAGAAGCAGCTATGAATCGAAAAAAGGCAAGGACAAGTGAAAAGATAGAACCACGCTAAAAAAAAGACATGGAAAGGAAGGATCCATAGAACTTAAAAAATATTTGTAGCGAAGAGTATTAACATTTTTTAGATAAACATCGCATCATTCATAAATGGTCAAATCCACATTGTTCCTCCAATCATATTAATCGTTGTCAGAATTTGTTTGCATATCTAAGAGACATCAAAAACTAATAAATGTAAGTGCAAGAAAAATAGGGGATAGAAGAAGCATAAACGTGCACAATGGTAAAATGAAAAATTATAGATACAATAATGTATCTAAGAATTTTGCTACCTCTCAACTTGTTTTTTCGTGACATTGTGCCTCCTGTCTCTCTTTCTGTTTTGCTTAAGGGGAATTTGCTTAAACTTTCGTATATCCGTCCTCCCTCTTTTGTCTTGCAATTTCCTTCATTAATGATATTTTTTGCCTTTTCAAAAAAAAAATAATATATAAATGTATGATATACTATTCTACATTAAATAACGGCAAGTTCTCTATAACTCATAAAGAGCAATATGCAAAAAGAAAAGTGAATAAACAAGAAAAAACCAAAAGCAAGTGCTTTAGCACTACTCACTAAGAGGAAATCTAAGGATGGGGTTGTTCAAAGCATCTATCTCATTCCTCTTTGATTGTTTCGGGTCAAATATTCCTACCAATAGAAATTGATTTTGCTGCTAAAACCACATGAAGCCATGAATAATGACAAATTTTGTTTTTTACGCTTGGACTTCTCCCCAAAAAAAAGGATGCAAGTTCAATTGGGGGGAGGTGGCTTTCCAATGGGAGTATCTCAATGGTCTCACTAACAAACATAAGTGGCTCATCCACAATTTGCACCTGCCACCATAAGGGCACCAACAATTCTCTTAACTTGTGCCTCTTCTTTCAAACTTTCTATCTGCAGAAACTCCATCTGCAAAAAAATCATTAAATGGTTCCACTTGCTCTCGGGGAATAAATAAAGCGCTTGCCCCACTACTCCAACATCAGCAAAAGGATCTACATACACCACACCCACAACTTCTGTAGAACAATCCACAACAGTATTTCCAATATTTCCACCCCAGCTAAACTAACTAAAATATTAAGTAGCAATTTTTTTATTTAAAAAAATATTGAGGGGAACTTCCTTGTGTGAGCATTACAAAACCCTCTATCTAAGGATGAAAACAAAAGATATGACGTGTAAATACTGCAGCCTCCAACTCGATAGGGTGATATCCTTGGAGTTTGCCTAATGTTACGTGGATGGTGGGGTCGACTTAATACCTCTGTCATGGAACTCACTAACGGAACTCCCTCCAATTGGTGGCCAACAATCTCGTCTAACATTCACCTTGTCATTGCTTGCTCTCAGCAGAGAAATAGATGGCATCTGTAAGACCTACCTAAATAAGGTAAAAAGTAAAAAAGTTAAAAAAGTTAAAAAAGTTATAAATAATACTTTTGAAGCGACTATTCGGTAGAAGGGATGTATTTGGATGATGGGATCAACATAATACCTCTGTCGTGGAACTCACTAAGGGAACCCCTCCAATTGGTGGCCAACTATCTAACCCAACATTCACTCCTATCATCGTTCGCTCTCAGCAAAGAAATAGATGGCTTCTATAAGGCGTACATAAATAAGGAAAAAAATCAAAAAGTTAAAGATGCTATAAATAAGGCTTTTGAAGCAACTATTTGGAGAAGAGATAAACTTTGACAACAAACTTAATTTGAAGCGTTGCAGAACCAAGATCACGAAACAAGATTATCAGACGAATTTCGTCTTTCTTTAGAAATCGTAACTCCCACAGCTCGCACTCATTGCATGGACTTTTTCATCGGCAAGTGGCTTGTCTCAAATTCCAAGCCTCAACTTGAAAGAATTCCCAATAAATGTTTCTTCACAGTGTAAGATACGGGATGTCAGCCCTCGTAAGATGAAGCAAGTTATTGCCCTCTAACGGGATAGAATGTGGTGATTTGGTCATTTGCAATGGAGAAATGTGGCCTAGCAAGCAACGAATCAAAACTTGATAAATATGGAGAAAGAGTCTCTGGCTATAGCTATTTATAGGCACGAGTGATCTTCATACATATGATGGCCGCATCAGTCATAATTGATTAAATAAATGAAAGGTATCATTCTCGATGTTAAAAAATTTGGATACTAAAAATAAGTTTCTATTATTCTGATAATTAAGAATTTTATCTATATCTCTCTTTATTCTTTTTGTTTTCTTCATGTCAATGAGCTTTTAAAAAACACAAGAAAAAGGGAGAACTAAACACATATAAAATATATAGAATCATCTATGCAGTGAATAAAAAGCACTCACCTCGAGCAAGATGGCACTCATTTAGGAACTAGGTTGTACTCGCCTAGCATCTAGGGGCACTCCTCAGAGACTAGGTGGCAATTGCCCAGGAACCCAAAGAACTCGTATCAGCTCAAAGGCACTTTCTTAAGTAAAAGAAACCCCAAATTTTTGCATCTTCTGAGAGTCATCTTCATACCGCTTGAATTTCGATCACAATGTCCATGAATCATGTAGTGATCTTTTAGAAAATGTATTAATTTAATTATTTCCCTATTAATATATTTCCTTGTAGCCTCAAAAAAATTATAAAAACAAGGTAAAATGACATAAAATAGGAAAGCTTCATTATTTTAGCTGTCCATAGACAGTAAAAAACTTGAGAGAATCTCTCCCTAGAATTGTTTCCTCTCCCTCTTTCTCTCAAATAGTCCCCATTTTGTCTGCTGGATCTTACAATATCTGCTAGTAAAGTTTAAGTGTTTCCAACGGACATATTTGAATCCAAACTGGCAATCTCACTAGAAAATAAAAATAAATTACAGCGACAGTAGGATTCAGAGTTGCAACAAAATGCTCATCCTTTGTTTTTCATATACCTGCAAAGTTAGCTTTTCAGATACCAAAACACCTATAATGGCCATAAAAAATAAATCTTTTGCGGCATTGCAACAGATACATGGCAGTTACCTCTCCCTATTGCCTTATTAGCATCACTTTCTACCATGAAATCTCTAGAATTATCATCATCGTCATTGCGCACATGTAAATGATAAAACCTCTCCATGGTCACCAATAATGCAAAATGAAAACTACAACTACATTAGCACTTAACCGCACTAAAACAATAGTTCACGAAGTGATTGGATACTAAGAGATAGAACAATTTAATTTTTTTAAAAAAAGGTATCAGAACAGAAAGGAAGGCAAACTTGCTAACCCGATCATGGTCATCTTGATTGATGGCTTGAGGTTGAATTGGGAAAGAATGAGAGAATCGTCGGCAAACTTATTGGCGATCCTTGGATAGAGAAGTTTCTGACGCTTAGGAAGAACGTTAGTAAGCTCACAGATCCGCCGCTTAAGTTCTGCCACGCTATCGTCACCGCAAACCCTCACCGTGTACTCCTTCCCACTCCACTTCACAGTCAAAGTCATCTCGGCCACTTCGTCCTCCACCGCCAGCAAGCTCGAGCAAGGAACCCCAGTCGCCGAAGACGACGGAACCGCCGATTCAGGAGTGGGTGTTTCCATTGCAACCACTACGCACTAGGTATTCGACTGGCTCGATATTCTGTCGCTTGGAAGATTAACATAGCGAGAGGCAAAGTCTCCGGTCCTACGAAAAAATATTACATCTGTACTACCCACGTAGATCACCACTGTTTGGTTCGGCTTCTGCTGCGCGACGCGGCGTGCGACAGCCGCTTCGTCCCGCATTCTGGCATTTGGTTTGGCGTTTCACGGCAAATTTTTGGCGAAGCGGACCGATCCGCGGCCGCGATATTAGGCCGCGGTCCCCGCTTTCCTCTTACCCATTGTAACACATGAATAACACGCAATAACACATGAATAACGCGCAATAACACATGAATAACACAGGAGAGAATATTCCCCGTGTTACTGCGCCGTTTTTTTTGCTCTACCGCGCGAGATGTTGTGGCGTGTTTTGATTGGCTACGCACGTTATTTTTACGTGCGTAGTACTGATGTAATTTTTCTTCCCGGTCCTACTCGAGTGAAATTTTTTCACGTTTGATCGTGTGTTCTATATAAATCACCGTCTCACAAGGGGGCTTCTGCTGCGCTGCGCGGCGTGCGACCGCGGCTTCGTCCCGCATTCCGGCGTTTGGTTCGGCGTTTCGTGGCAAATTTTTGGCGAAGCGGATCGAACCGCGGCCGCGATATTAGGCCGCGGTCACCGCTTTCCTTTACCCCTTGTCCCCCCTCCCCCCTTCGTTTCTCTGCAGCCCTAACGAGTTCCCTTGCGGCTCTCCTTCGTCCTCTTGCTTCGTTGCCCCTCGATCGACAGATCTGAGGTATAACGAGCATTTTTCTTCTTGTAATCGCAGATTTGAGGGTTCTTTACGATTTTTTCGAGTGTGATGTTCTCTCTACTCCTATCCTTCCTACTTCGGCGATTTTTTCTTCAACACATGGAAAAGACGACTGTGATGTTCTTTACCCCTTTCGTTCATCA